TCCCTTTTTTCCTTTGTATTGTCACCATCTTTTAAGCTTTATGTTACTAGTTCCTTTTTAGGTATACCATGGAGTCATAGTAGACCCGTAGGTTCTTAGGGTAGGTTGAAGATAGATAGATAGGTAGGTAGGTAGATAGATAGATAGATAGATAGATAGATAGATAGATAGATAGATAGATAGAGTTTAATTAAATTTGTTATTAAGAATAGGAAGTTCTTTACACATTCCCTCTTATGCCTTTCCTCAAAGCATCCTTATATTCTGAAATTTTAACAACATATCCTTTCATTCTTTCTCAAACTTTTGTGCCAGCCATGTTACATTAGAATAGTGACTCAAAAGCTGGCAATGGAAGGTGCAGGTTTGTTTCCTTAAATGATGATTCCTTATGTATCTAAAAGTAATATAAAATCCTTCTAGTTTATTTTAGGAAAATGAGCTCATGATTTTTTAACTTTATCAGTCTTTTAACAAAATTCTTGTTTGAATTGAATTTCTAAATTGTCTATTATCATAATATCATTGATTCTAAGATGCACACTTGTTTGTAACTTACATGTGAAGTTAACATATTTTACAACTGGCAGCATGTCATATTTAATAAATGATTTTTTTAGGTATACCATGGAGTCATAGTAGACCCCTAGGTTCTTAAAATATATATAACATAATGTATATATAACATAATACATAACAAAATGTATCTTAAAAATATAAAAATATATAACATAATGTATCTTAATATTGATGGCATCTTTGATTTCAGTAAATACATATGGTTATCCTCCCACCTTTGCAATTTTATGGGGTGTTATATCAACAGGTCATATGCGTCATTTACAATGTGGGCCAAAGTGTTATCAGTGCCAGTCTCCATGTTACCTGTTAGTTTGTGGCCCCCAAAATTCTGTTCAAGTTCAGAATATGACCTTTATTACTACCTGTAGTTCAAAAATCTTATAAGCTATAGAGCAAAAACTAGACAAGTTTCCTATGCCAGTTTTGTAGGTATTTGTTCTACATATGAAGTATACAACTCTTTCCCTTAAGTGACTACCTTACCATTTCTGATTAAATAAAATTTGTTTCCAACTAAATATTCTAAGATCAATGAGTTGTTCTAACAGAAAACCAAATTCTAATCTTGCATGGATAAAATATGTGTCAGTAAAAAAAAAAAAAAAAAAAAAAAAGCACAGACCTTTCTTATAAATATTTCCATCAAATGCAGCCAGTTAGTTAAAGTTTTGGCTTTTCTTTTTTACTCTTCAGACTTACTGTTTATAAGTACAGTAAACCGGGGTAAATCACTTTTCCTCAGACCTTCTACTATTCAATGTATCCATCCAAGTTCTGTTTTTACTATCTTCACTCTTAGCTCAGATATCTTACTTACTATAAGAAACAATTTCTTTTCTTTGATAAATGGAAACATCCATTACCTTGAATATGTATTATATATTTTACTACTTTTGTGTCTAGTTTACATTCAACCATTCATATTAATAACAACTTTTAACATTAACTTCTAGTTCATAGAGAAAACCTACAGGAAGATAATTAAGTTTAACAGTCTGTCATATACAGTTTAGCATCCCAGTAAGTTACACAGCACACATAATAAAATACTCTGCACCCACAGTATGCCTTAGATGTTTTCTTAAACTTGAAAAATAAAGATAAAACAATAGAATGCAAAAATAAAGCTATTGTATAGCATGTAAAAATAATGATCTAAACTAATGAATTAATGCAAATATAGCAGAAATCAAAATAAATGCAAATGGATTGGCTAGTCAATTAATTATAGAGATTCTAAAGGGAGAAGAAAAAAATCTAAATCTAGTTTTATACTGTTTATAAGAAATATCATTAATACATATAATCACAGAAGGTTAAAAGATGGTTTCCATATCTTCACTACTGTAAACAGTACTGCTATAAATTCAGGAGTGCCGGTTTTCTTTCAAATTAATGGTTGTTTTCTTTGCATAGATACTTAGGAGAGGAAGGTTTTGAATGCACCCGAATTGTAAGAATGGTTTTCTAGACAATGGAACAGAATAAGTCAAAGGCTAAGAAACAGAATAATAGAAAGCATAGTTGTGCTAAAACAGTAACCACCTTGATTAAATCAAACTGGATGGTTAGATCCCCAAACCTCTTGCCTTAATTCATTAGGCAGAAAAATTGAAAATGCCTTAATGTTTTCTCTTATTGGATTCTTGATTCTTTCTTCTTTTTGTTTTTATAAACATAGCATTGATTTACATTGTTGTTTCTATATTGGAATACAGGACTTCCCACCTCATTGTTGTTACCACAACACATATACCACGAACGCACCCATAGTCCCCCACGATAGTCCATCGTGCTCCCCTACCTTGCTCTTTTGCCTCCCTCTTTGGTAGCAACAATTCTATAGTCAGCTTTCTAGGGTTAGTTCTTAGGTTGGCTTTATCTGTCCCTTTGTTTGGTTTCTCTGTACTTCGCATACAAGTCACTTTGTATATATTTTTCTTTCTCCTTCTGACTATTTTCAGTAGCATAATCCCCTTCAACTCTTCTTTAGGAAGACATGTATAGACCATAGATTATATAGGAATGCTTTTAAGCTTCTAAGCAAAATATTTTTTGCAGAAAAATCGTATCACTAACTCACAAAATCATTTTAATATAACGTAAACCATCCCTTCCCCAGCATTCACTTGCTGTACAGCTGTCTCTAATTTTTCAGAATTTCTCTGAAAACATTTTAGAGTGTTTCATTGGTATGATTAAATATTCATGAAAAAATTTGAATTTGCCTTGTTCATATTGAATAAATTTTCATGATAGAAATATTTTAGAAGACATTTTCCTTTGCTTTTAAACTTTTTTATAACCCAAAATACATTGTTCAGAATTTGACAGTAGTAATTTGGTGGATAACTTTTAAAATATGAATAGAGAATTCTAATAAAATTCCAGCTTCATGGAAATGATGAAGGGAGGGGCACGATGTATATGAGTTTATTCTTACTTTAAAGGTAAAATTAAATCACAAGAAAAGTTTTTGATAAAATGAGAAGTTGTGGATAACTGTGGTTAGTGTTCTGGAAAGGTTGATAAGAGATGACAAACTACTGAATTTTCAGTTACAGGTATTTATTTGAAGATGGGCATTAAGACTGTGAAAATGAGAAATCTTGAAATTCCTGCATACTCTTTGGCAGAATTCTGCAAGTTAAATAGCAGAAAAAGCAGGAACTTTTTCTAGATTTTCAGAGACTTTCTAGATTAGATTTTTCAGAGGTGAAAGATTTAGGAAATGTTTTCAAGTAAGTTGGTGAAGTAAGTTGGCGAAGACACTGAAAAAATTGAATGTAGTATTTACCATAAAAGAAGCTCTCTAGGAGTTAGAAATATAAGCCCCGCTGGAACTGGCTTTGCACTGGTCATGTATAATGTCGTTTTCATTAATGTACCGAAAAAGCAAATACAATTCTGAGCAAAATTATCAGATTTGTAAATGGCCTAAAAAATTGTGAGTTAATGAAAAGATGATTGGAATATAGTTAAAGAATATGAATATCTTATTATCAGATGAATTTTGAGGTGAACCAATTCAAGTAGTACAGCTAGGGATTACAAACTCCAAATTATTTCTTTCATATAAATATGAATAGTCTCAGTTTTTAGTTCACAATCCATGAAGGGATTCAAAAAGCCAAATAGTTTTATCTTTTTTCCATAGCATCTAAACCCTCCATGATCTTGCCCTCCTACCTTTCTGAAGTCACTCCAAACCAATTTCCCTTTGTAGTGAAACCACTCTCTGTGATCCCAAACATGCTATGTGACCCCAAGTCTCCTTTTTCTCATTTCTAATTCTATGAGGATTCATTCTGACTTGCTTATTAGGTGTCCTACTGTTGAAAGATGCTAACTATATTAAATAATGTATTTTGTCTTTCAAATCAAGAAATAAGTCACATAAGTAAATTTTTACAAATATGTTGCAAAAACATAAAACTTAGAGGATCATATCAGATATACTGCTAAGCCATATCTTCAATGGATCATGAAGAGCCAGTTTGGATGGATAACATAACTGCATAGACAGCAAATTTAAAAGATTCAAAGAATCCTAAAATATGAGCTTCCCACTTGCCTGCCTTATTTCTCCCCAACTCAGACACACATTTACTTTGGCAAGTAGAGAGAATTTTTTTTTCCCCACTGATCTTCAGTGGTTCCTAAGATTCTAGAAAATAATTTATTCATTTGGGAAAGTTCAATCTGGAAACAGAAACAAGTAAATTCTGATAGAAAATAACAAAAAAGAGAAGGCTTAGTCTAGAGCATGTGAGTGTGAAGTTCTGAAAGAGGAAAATGAGGTGAATTTTGTATAGAGGAGATGGAACATAAAGGAGACAGGGAGAAGGGAATTGAAATTTTTTTGTGGTCTGTTCAATGATCTTCCTAGATGCATTAAGTTTCAGATACCAAAAGAGATCACTAATGGTTGGAACCAAGGAAAATCTAAAAAAAAAAAAATTAAAAAATGCTGTTTTCATTCTTTAAACTTTATGTGGTAAATTCAGATTATCCATTTTTAATAGTATTTTTTTCCTCAAGAGTGTATATAAACTTCTCTTGGTGATTTGAGTATTTTAGTTTTTCTCTGAAAGAAATGTAGTGACTATTCACAAAATTGGTCATTAACATTGACCTTCCCTTGGATAGGATTGATTGCATTATTTATTTTTACCGTCTATGAAAGGTTTATGTAATCTGTGTTGAAATTGTGTTGTTTTAAGCTACCCCTAGTAAATATTGGAAGGGTAAAGATGTCATCTTAAAGTATATTTGCAGATGTGGGTGGGACTACTACTTAACTGGCATTTCCTCCTAAAACTTTTCCTGGATTATTTCACTATAGATTAGATTTAAAGTTTCAGTTGTGCTGACCTGTAATTTATGGATGCATATATGTTTTTACTTTGTAAATATAGTTCATTTACCCCTAAAATGCAAGGCAGACGGATGGGGACTTCAGGAAGAGCCATCACGAAGAGCACCAGTGTGAGTGGAGAGATGTACACACTGGAGCATAATGACGGCAGTCAGTCAGACACGGCTGTGGGTACAGTGGGAGCAGGTGGAAAGAAAAGGAGATCCAGCCTGAGTGCCAAAGTGGTTGCCATAGTGTCTCGAAGAAGTAGAAGCACATCCCAACTAAGCCAAACAGGTGAGTAAAGTGAATTCATCTTAATCAGCTCAAGTTGTTGCTGGAGAAACCACGGTTGATCTTCATGCTATGCTTATGATGAAATTGTAATGTGTATTGATTCCAAAGCAAGTATATTTTTCTGTCCTTTGAAATCTGTTGCATGCATGGGTAAATGTTTTTTTCTGTGCAGCTGTCTAACAAGGTACCATTTGTCAATCTGTAATGTGGTCAAATATTTTCCTTTAAGTTAAAATCAAAGCCATGTTTACAAATATGCAAGGAAATGCAAAGAAGTATTAAAGATCCAAATTTATTTATATGCAAGAAAAGCAACAGGATTCTCCCTTTCAAAATGTTCCATAATACAATTACTAATACTTTAGGCTTTTTCTACATTTTTTATAGAAAAGAAGGTCAGTTGTGCAACTTGAAATATAGTCTTAAACTTCCTGTATGAATGTAATAATTGAACTGTAAGTGTTGCAAGTAAAAACCCAGCAGTTATTTTCACTTTAAAAAAAATGGGTCAGTGAATTCATGCAAAGAATAATGTTTTAAAAGAAAATTGAATTTAAAATATTTTCTATTGCTTGTAATCTTAAAAGTTTTGTGTCCTCAAGGTATGTAGAAAAAGAAATCAAATGCAGAAGGGAGGATGGTTATTTCTGTATTATAAAATATAAAAAATTGCCTGAAATTATTGTAATGTTTGGTTAGGCATATTAAGTCATTCAGTGTGCTCGCTACTGTGGAAAAACAAAGGTAAGTAAAATATTAAACTGATTTCAATTCCCAGTACCTGTTTCTCCTCAATCATTGATTGTATTTCTTGTTCCTTAACAGCAAAACTCATGACTTAAAATTTGACATAAAATTGACTTATAACAAAAAACTTTCATAAAATCCTTTTTCTAGTTAACTTGGCATTCTGGAAAGAACCTATTTTAAATTGTATGTTTTACTGTGCATATTGACAAATTACAGGTAGAAAATATTTGAACCATTTGATAATTGGACTAGTGCATACAACCATCTAAGCAGAAGTTTTCTTTCTGAAGATAATAGAATGAAAAGTAATCTAGTTTAACTAGCATGTTTCTGTGATAGATCTGTTTCTATATCAAGCAGTAAGAAGAGCTGTTCATTGTGAGGGAGAATCAAAGGTCTATTTTGGGGGTCAAGTTTCTTCCTTAGCAGTAGGGCCTATTTTTCATTTGTGTTATTTCGCTTTTGGTATAGTGATTCTTGTTTTTCAGAGTTGATGTAATGGTGCTTTATAATGTAGGGTATCAATAAAGCTTTCACCACCAGATTCCAAAATACTTCATCATTTACATGAAATAAAGTTTTTTGTAGTCGCTTTAAGTAACTAGTGTTTTCTGTGTGAGAGACTATAGGTTCAGATAGTGGCTTAGCTGCTTCTCTTAAATTTCCACAATCTCTCTCATTTTATTTCTCCCTTAATGTAAGTTCCCTCTCTAACATTCACTAGGAAACACAGCAGTAACTTTAAAAAGGAAGTAGTCTTATGGCACATCTTTGTAGGTGATAGGTGCATATGATTGTTATTGAAACCCCAACCCCTTTATCAGTTTAACTTTTATTCCAGCTATGGACATTACTGAATATCAAATAATTATCTACCTTCCCAAAAGTTGAATTGTTTATAACTTCCATAAAATATAAGCCCTATTTTCAGAATTTAGATTGAAGTGTGTGGGAGCAAAAGGACATTGGATTACAAAGCAAACAAAATAATTTGTTTCAAAGTGACTCAGTAGATGAACTTTGACTTGTCTTTCTAGGTCTCATCTTTTATATAATGGGTGGGCTGGATTGGATGTGATCCTGTTAATTTTCCAGGTATAAATTGTATTTTTCTCTTTCTGTATCATAATTTTACCTTGTATTTGATAGCCTATTCTCATTCCTACTGATCTTTCTAAGGCTAATGACAAATGGCAACAAACCTCAATTTTTACTCCTCTTTGTTTCATGACCTGATTTTCTCCCTTTTCTGCAAATGATTTTTTCTGAGAAATCATCAAAAACCAGAATTTCTCATTCTAAGAAAAATTATTTTTATTGCTTCTACTTCTGTAGAAGCATATGACCATCGCATCTGTAATCCCAAATTCCTCTTCACCCAATATTATTCCTTAATATTAATTTACCACAGAAAATTACCCCACTTTAAACAAGTTTCTTATTTTCACACTTCTAAACATCCAGTGCTTCCTTTCAGTCATACCATAGTTTTTATATTACAAATCCTTACGATAGTTTTCTTCCTTTTTTAATTTTCCCTAAAATCTCTCCCAGAACCAACATCCCAGAAAAACATTCTGCCATTTATCTAATTTTAAGAAACACTATAGATTGTATAATTGATTTTAATGTCTTCATTATAAAAAATATTTATCTCACACTAGTGTTGAATTTTCAGGGGTCCTTCAGGAGTATAGATAATTAAGACATATTTTCTAATAATAACAATTGATCAAAGATTTGGAGGATTAAAACAGCATCACTACTTATTAAATCAAGTTGAGTATTCTTTGGAATAGAAAAGATTATGTTCAGGGCCTCCCTGGTGGTGCAGGCAGTTGAGTGCCACACTGTGAAGCTGTCCACAGCCTCTGCAGTGCAGGTTCGATCCCTGCCGGCCAGCGAGAATCTCACATGGCGTGGCAGACCTCTCCTGTCTCATCCACTGCTCCCCGCAGCAGTGTATTTCATCATTCTGCCTGTTCTGTTCCCCGCTCTGTCTCTGGCGAATCCTCTCACCCTCCCACCATTTGGCCTATACCCCAGTTCTTGTATAAATAAATCTTTAAAAAAAAAAGAATATATTATGTTCAAGGTAAATATTATGTTTCATGTAAAAAAGGAAAGACATTAATAAGGGCTTCTCTTGTAATGAGTCTCTTTGGGATCCACCCCCATGCATACTGGGTTACAGTTTCTCTCCCTTCTAACATGCAAATGACAGATAATCAGAAGAAATGTGAGGCACTTAGAAATAATACTTAGTGAGCACTTATAAAAATGATAGCTCTTGGACCATAGCTGGGCACCACAGTAAGACACAGCTCCACTCCTCTCTGAGAACCTGGCTATCAGTCCACCTAGGCCAACATGATTTCAAAGAAATTCTCCTGATAGTTTCCAAGGGACAAGATGTCATGAGTGTACCTAAAAGATACAGTTTGACAATGAAATCTCCCAAAAAAGACCCAAAAGTTAAGGATGTTGTATCAGCAGCTGTACAAGCTTTTTTCAGAAGAGGGGGAGCTCAGAAAAAAATGTCTTAAAGGAGAAAAGAAGATTTAGTGAAAAGTGAATTGGGCTGAAACATGATAAAAAAGCAAGAGCTGTGACCAAGAGGGCAAAGGATTATTTCCATGGTTACAATGGGAGGAAAAATTAAAGAAGAGGCAGACAATGGAAACCCACACTAGCCAGGGAACATATCAAGAGTGCAAGATAGAGGAAGAGGATGAATTCTTAAAATATAATCAAGCAGAATCAGAGTAGGATTATGAAAAAGAATAAGAACCTTGCAAAGCTGATAGCAAATCAGAGGTCCCCCACCACTCATGAACTTCACTGACCTTCTCAGACTGGCTGAGAAAAAGCAGTATGAACCAGTGGAGATTAAGGTAGTAAGGAAAATGATAGAGTGGCCTATGACTATAGAATAACTTAGGGAGTGATAATTCCTTGAATGAAAGCATAGGAAAAGGAAAGCTGAAACAGATATAAGAATGCCTTCAACTAAAAAGGTACCCTCTCAGAAAGAAAGTGTGGGCACAAACAGCAAAGGTTCCAGGGAGAAGCATCCTTCTTCCCAAGGCACTCCCCTCTCTCTTGCAGAGAAGAAATCCAGGACCATCACAGCCGTTGAGAAACATTTACGTTTGTCTTCATCCAAATCCATGCCAAGAGAGAAGACCAAAAGAGGACTTAGAAATTACTCTCAACCCCCTCTTCATGAGGGTCGTGACAGACCTCTTTTTGGTGAGATTGGAAAACCCCACCATAGAACTTATTCACCGAAGGTCCCAAAGTCTTCAGTTAAGGGACTCAGAGATCTGCTACTGAGCACAAAGCCAAAAAATCTCCTCCTAGGCTTTCCAAGCCTGTGCCTGTGGTCACCTCACACAGTAAGACTAAGTCCAGGTGTCAGGCAGCCAGGCAGCAGCTCTGGCTCAGCCCCTCAGCAACCCCGTGCTGGGTCTGTTGGGCCAATAGTTAATTCTGGCCCCATACCCAGGTGCCAGAATAGCAACTCCAGAGCTCAGGACTTGAGTAATCAGTCCATGGGATCAAGAGGCCAGCCAGTGGCTTAAATCCCTCTGGATGCACAGTCAGTAGTACAAGTAGCCCTGGATGACCTAAAAGCAGTTCAGTGGTCCTCAGTGACCCATCAGTGGCTCAGGTGGTTCTCACAGATCCATAAGCAACTCTGGGCAGCCTGTGAGCAGTCCACATGACCTTAGATGGCCAGTGAGTGGCTTAGATCCCCATTGGAAATCACTTAGTGGCCCTGGGCGATCAGTATGTGACTCAGTTACAGCTGGAAGAACTGTCAGTATTTCAGGCCAGTGACCAGTGAACAGCTTGGGACCCAGATGAAGAGTTATTAGTTCAGGTCCCTGCCTGAAGTCCATTTACACTGTTTTTTTAGAAACAAGTTCTTCTAAGAATATAATTAGCCAGTCCAGCAATGGACAACAGAATGGAATGAAGCCTTCCTTCCTTATCTGGCTGAAGATCTTCCTAAGGCCTCAAAGACTTCCCCTTCCCTAGTAGTTACAAAAGACATCGAAATACTGAAGAGGATGATGAGGAGGAGGAATACCACTCTGAAATGAAATTTTTAATTCACTTTTACTAAATTACCTAATGCACTTTTTAAACTAGAAAAGTGACATTAATAGGAAGGTTTCCAAACAATGATTCTGTAATGCCTTTGAGCAATGAAGCATATAGTTAAAAACTTATTCGATATATAG